TTCCTCTTACCTCATTTATGAGGTGGACTCTTCTGGTTCTATACAAGCCGGGCTCAGAGTTTCGAGGGTGTTAATTCTGGTCATGTGATAACGGCCAAAGGCAACCACAATGACGAAGCTAAAGAGTAGATGGAAAACACATTCCTTTGGTTTTAACTCGCCTGCACGGTGTGTGTCAGAATAGGCTTCTACCTAACGCTCTGTGGCTTAAAAACACTCAAACCAAATAGACCCCAGCTTGGGATCTCTTCAGCATCTCCACATTTTCCACTCTTCGCTGGCGAGCAGGAACAACTGTCAGACAACATGAAGCATGGGCGTGGTGGCCTGATTGCATTTGGGGCCCCAATCCTTCAGCCCTCCTTGTAACTTTGCCTTTCCACCCTGCACTTAGCCCTGTGGCTCGCTTCTGGGGAATGCTGGTCAGCATGAAGCAAGCAGATTTGAAAGGGTCTTGTGGGAATGGGCTTGGCTGCTGTTGCCCTCTGCCCTCCACGAAAACATGCCTGGGCTAGCTGATGCAGGATGAGACTCCTGGAAAAGGGCTGAGCCGCTCCCGTCAAGGCCAACTCCCCAATGAGCCAGGCAAGACCAGAAGCACTGCCCAGAGACGCCCAGCCTAAGTCATTGATCTAACTCATAAATTATGTGAACGTTTATTGTTGCACACCACTGAGTTTTTGTGGTTGTCATGTACTACTTTTGTGGTAACAGAGAATTGCTACAATAGGTTTTCATTTATTTCACATCCCTGAGTGTGACATCCCTCTTGCGAATTTTCTAAGAGGAAGCTTTGGCAGTAAAGACATTCATTGTTGCCACCTCCTGAGATTCTGTAGATTGCGCAGATCCAGTCACCTAATGCTGAGCACCTAACTTTGTGCTACACGCTCTCTCAAGTGTTCTCATTTTATCCTCAAATCCACCCTGAAAAGTAACTTCCTCATTTTGGGTAATCTAAAGAAATGAGGAACTTGAGGCAGCGTGATGAAATGATTTGTCTAAAGTCACCATAAATTGGCAGCATCAGGGCCCAAACTCAAGACCTCTGACTCTAGTTGCATATTCCATTACATCAGAAATAATAAGGAAGGCTTAAAACTGGCAGAATGTTATTCTGTCCAAGTCACTAAAGACAGAAAAAGTTTGTTTAAAGAAGGCAATTGAGTTTTTATTTCATCATCCAAGATAACTGAGGAATTTGACCATTACAGGGCAATTCTCTTCAACCATTCCATCCTTAGCATTCTTGCTTAAACAGCCTTTAAGATGCTGCTATTCCCCATTGAGAAATACCCAGACAACCAGACTAAATCATATAGATCCTCCACCATTTCCCAGTTTTATCTTAAAGGATTTTATGTTCAATACTCCTCTTGGGCCAATCACTAATCATGTAAATTGCAAATTTGAAGATTAGTTGCTCCTTGGTGGTAATACTGATTAGAAAAAAGTACACTCACACAAATATAAATTAGGGAATAGTGGATACACAAACTATGCACCCACTTTCAAAGGTGGTCTTTTAAAGAATGTAATAACAAGCCAGATTCTTAGACATCTCTCCCTTTTGTGATTTCGGTTCTTAAAAAATATAAAAACAAATCAATCAAATATTCTAAGGCAGTTTTCTAAGGTTTCTTTAATTGCAGTGGATTCTAGGAGCAGACTGGAAAAAGTGGGAATCAGGACACAGAGGAGAGAATGAAGTTCACATCTTGGTAAACGAAAAGTGCACCATATGAAACGTTATATAGACTTCGCTAGGAACTTTGAACTCCAAATCTAGTTTACCAAATCTAGCTTGACTTTATTAACATATTTGATTTTCTACGCCCATTAAATTTAAGCACCTGGATACTGGAATGATAAGAGACAGGAAAACAGTGGCTTAGTGAAAAAGTAGTTTAACTTTTAGGGTATAACATTTTGTCAGTGGTTGTCATTTTAGAATTTAAAAAGTGAATTTTCCTTTGCCTCATACTTCCTTTATGCATGTAACTTGTAGCAGAAAATTCCCCCTTTAACAACTTCAGAGCACAGCAAGAAACCACAGTGGTTTGCAGGCCACTAATTCTGTTACAGATGAAAGCATTCAATTATCTCCATAAAATTCAATTCCTTAGAAAATGTGTGTGATTGACTAAGTGTATTTTTAAAATGTAGTGATACCACATGCTATTATTCAAGATCTTGATTTAAAAGTTGGAACAAAGTAGCTTGTGGTTCTTGGGTAAAACAAAGATACTAATCTGTTTTTTTCAATATAAAAATACTTTCAATACAAAAAGGCAACCTAGAATTCTTTTATTCCAGATGTTAAGCTAGGCTTGTATAAATCTTCATTTTTCCCACTGCAGCCTAAACACACTTAAAAACTGCAAGCAACCATTTAAAAGTGGGTCATCATTTGTATTAAAATCTTATTTACATGGCATTTATATTTAAAAGTGTGATGACACACTGCTAATAACAAGTCAATATAGTTTAGAGATAAGATCTCATGAAAAAAACCTTAAGATTTAAAAGCAGAGTTAATTCCAGCTTAAGTTCAAGATAGGTGATCTCAGTGAAGATGGCTGCTGGGCAGTGAGTAAGGCCTCTGATGATTCCTATCAGAAAAATCTACATACAGGCAAAATTCTGCAAAGAATTCCAGAGGGTGCTCTAGATTAATAATCTTCAGCTGTGAGCAAAAAGTTAAGTTTCACTTGATACACACAGTATATGTATATGTATGTTTCAACTCCCTCAGCCCCCAAGCAGCCCATCCTTGATGGGGCTACGGCTGGTGCTCTCATGTCCTTTGCCCCAGACTGACAGCTCAGAAGCAAGCACAACCTCACTGTAGATTATGAAACCCAAGCTGTACGGCTGTCTACAGGCCTTCACGTCCCAGTTCCTTACACTCTTCTACTAGATGTGGGCTTCACAGTAGCATCTGCCCAGCCTGTGGCTGTCAGTTTTCTGCACGCCATACACAGCAGCTCTGTAGTGTTGTCCAGTTTTCATGCACATTCAGACCCACAAACAAGAATTCTGTTCCAAGACCTCATTTTGACAAGCTTTAAAAGTCCTCTCCACCTATCCAAATTCAATGCATCCTTGAACACTGTGCTGAAGTGGTATTTTGTCCGTCCTCTCCCCAGACCATGTTGTTCAGAAGCACCTTTTCCTTCCTCTGGTATCATCTCTTTCCTAAACTACTTTAAAAACGTGTGCGTGTGAGATTTGCCCTGAGCTAATCCCTGGGCCAATCTATTTTTTGTATGTGGGACGCCTCCACTGCTGCCTGATGAGTGGAGTAGGTCCGTACCCGGGATCCGAACCTGTAAACCCAAGCCACCGAAGCACAGCACGGAACTTTTAGCCACTCAGCCACAGGGCCAGGCCCACTTTAAAAACTTTTAAAGCAAGTTTATTAACACATAGCCTTAAGGTAGGTGCAGCAAGGGCAGCCAACAAAACTATTGAGGAGATTATGAAAACTGGCAAATCCGTATCTCAAACTCCATTTATTCTGTAACTAATAATGCCAGGCAGCTTGGACTGGAGCACGTTAACATTCTATTCTCCTGGAGCTTCACAGAGCATGTAGTCTGCTGTTGGCTTATCACTGAACTTGTTCCCCTAAGTCTGATTCAATGTTCTTGCCTTCTCCTGATGTGATTTTAAGAATGTAATTATGTCTTCCTATGGGCAAACTAGCATGACATTTGCTTTTTCACAAAATCACCAGCAGTTAAATCAATTCTACAAGTATTTCCATACCTATTCATTGTAGCAGAAAATAGTTTTTACGTATGCCTTTGACTTTTTGTTTCTTTTGGATTGCTGCATTTGTGAACTTTCTAATTTTTAGGTTGGGCTCATCTTACATATTTTGATGAAAAGGATGAGTGTCTGTTCAAAAGGAAGCTGGACGACCCACCTGGTGCAAATATCTTCTTGAGGAACAAATGAACATCCTAGCTCCTGGACACACCCAGTGCTTAAAATGACTGCGCTGGTACAAGCGCATACTAGTATGTCTGCTTCCCACACTAAGGTGCTTTCAATCTTTTCGAAGGGGGAAAAAAGAGATTTGTCAAGTGGGGAGAAAGCCCACATACACGATACTCCCCCCCTACTCTTCAGCCCTTCACGGACATGTGCAATTATGTACTCTAGGATTGTTATAAAAATCTCCTGGTGCAGAAAACCAGTCTCACTAACAGCAGGCTGGCCAGCAGGAATAGTCCCAGGGCGAGGTGACGAGGGAAAAGGAGCTCCTCTGGTCACGTATCAACTGAACGATGCTGTAGTTCAATGCTGGAAGGCTCCTTTGAGACGGTTTATAGAGTGGTATGGTGTAGCAATTTAAGTAAGATTTGTTGAAATGTCTTCTACCAACACAAAATTGTTGATGAAAATATGCTAATCCCTGGCTACTCAATGTCAAGTAGGGTAGTGGTTTTTTTAGCATTTGAGGCCCTTTTGTTGCATCCTAAAGCATGCGTTTTAGAAGTTTGAGGACAGCAGTCTAACCAGAGAAATACTAAATACTGACTCATCACAGAAACTGAACTCTTGCAAGGCACAAAGGAAGTCTGGTTGATCTAAACAGTTTTTCAATTATTTCATGATGACGATATAATTATGAGTAGACTATGTCTTACCTAGTATTTTTCAATGGAGTCTTTTTTAAAAATAGCATTTGCTTTTTTTTTGCTAAGAGTACATTTTCAGAGGGAACGTGAATTTCATCTACTACTCTGTTTTGTTTACAGCATAGATCATGTGTATTAGATCATTAATTTGGCATAGGCAAGCTGTGAAATAAACTAAAATGCATGACTTACTAGCACTGCAGGGTGTGTGCTGTATGCATGCGGCGTACATTAAGTACTGCATATGTGTCTCCCGGAGGAGTGGAATAAACTTATGTAACACCAAACCTCAACAATAAAAAGATGCACTCTTCATATCATACTTCCATTATGCGAAATACACACAACACATTTTTTTTTGTTTCCATATAATTTAGGGTGTGGACAGTAAAATATAATCCCTTCTAAAAAAAAGACCAGTTTAAATCAAAATCAATTAAAACAATTAAAAATTAGTCCCATAATAACATGGTAAACAACTCAAATGGCTTTTTTTAATGCTAGGAAAAAATGTTCACCTTTCAATGGTGAAAGTACTGTTGACACAGGTAAAGAGGCAACAAGGTAAAAAGTGAGAGCACAGACAGACACACACAGATATATATAAAAATTGACCAGAAATCACAGGACATTGAAGCAATGTTTTCTTAAGTAGAACTATTTTTCTTGTACTTTAAATAGACTAAAATATTTGGTGTGGGTGGGGGAAGGAAATCAGTATTTCACAATTTTAACTTGAAAACCAGCTGTAATAAAGCCTCAGCTCATTGTTTAATTAAAAAAATGGAACCACATCGCACTTTGACAATCATAGGATTAAAGCTTACAAAGAACACATCTACCATCTACATCACAGTGCACAGAGGATGCAGTCTCCGAGGACTACCACAGGGAAACGAGAGCAGACTGCATCCATCGTATTGCATTACAAAATTAATGCCGTATTAGGAAATCTCACCTCCTGTGGTTGGGGTTCTGGCTGGGTAAGCACCTGACAGTAGGAGGCTATCGGAAAAGAAGTGAGGGGCACTGCTCAGTCTGGTTCAGGACAGCCAGTTCCATCACCTGCCACTGGCTGATGCATTTAGTAATCTCAATACAACATCCACTGAGAATAAATATAATACCACATTCTAGTCTTGAGCAGGATAGTCTGGGGAATGTAGTGGAGGATAGAGCATCCAAGGCCATATTTTCCCTCAAGAGAGAAGAAATCCACACCACCACTGTTTTCTTTAACTGTGAAAAATTTGAAATTCGGATTCAATTTATCGCCATAAAGACGTGACTTGTACTTACATAGACACACAGATTCTGAAGAACTTAGCTATCTAGCTGCCTCTTCTCTATTTCATTAAATCACTGGTTTCCTTCCCTGGATTACTTAGTCTCACCACCACATAGGTGCCATTAGCTATTATTTGTTACAAATCTCATGTTCCATCCACAGGACTAAGTGATTGGACAGTGCATAACCAAGTATCAGAAATGTTGACAACCACAGGGCAGCTGAATTGAATTGTAACTATCACGTTTAGGGAATGACGGTAATCACAAGAATACCTGGGGTGATCGGCACCTCCTGGGGTGCCTGGGACTTTCCTGGGTTTAGCACTGAAAGTCCTGCATCCAGGAGACCCCTCAGTCCCAGGCACACTAGGGCAGTTGGTCAAGAACACCACTCACTCCTTCCTTAGTATCACTAGAAAAAGGCTAAGAATTTTCACAAGCACAAGGCTATCTATGAGGGCATCAGCTCAAAAATATTTTTAGGACATTTGCTAACAGCTAGTTCCTAGGAGTCCATAAATATCTTATTTAACGGTGTCAATTTTAAGAACAGTTGGTATCACTTAAGCAAATTTGTGAGTAGTGTAGAAAAGTTCATGCTTGAAACCTGTTTTCAGACAAATCCTCTAAAGGTTCTTCTGGGTTTGTCCGGTTAAATAGCATTTTACTGTATCTTTTTTGAGATTCCCAGAGCTAAATGAATAATCCAGTTTTATACATCTTTTCATATTCTTTTTTTTAGGTGAAAACACTCTCTGCCAACCTTTTCCCACATTCTTGCTTCATATACTGAAAAGACGGCTGCCAACTGGAGATATTTCCCGTGGATTACAAAGGCCCCAAATTATGCTACTTTTAAGTGTGCTCCGCCAGAAGGCCTGGCCTTGGGAAAAGACGGCAAAACAACATCCTCAGATCTGAACGTGTTTTGCCTGCAATGCTGGGATCTAGTTCAACAACTGCGGAACTACTTTCATCTTAATCTCTACAGTTTTTCTTGTTTTGCCCTCTTGTATAAAAATGGTTAGTGTCACAGCTTCACTATCACTAATAGAAAGATACAAATATTTATGCTTTAAAGTCAGGGTCAAAAAAGCAAAAAAGAAGCCTGAGGTAAAGTTGGTCTAAGAAATGACCTATTTGGGTTCTGCATTTTGTCAAGAAATAGGGTTTTTAAAAAAAAATTTAAAAACCATTCATGTTACCTATCTGCTACATATGTGATAATTATCTCTTCCAATTTAAATTAATCCGTTCTATTAGTTACACGAACCAACAAATGACTACATTCTTAAAGCAGGTACATACATTCACCAGAAAAGGACCCTCTTCTTCCTCACCATTTTTTTTTTGCTTGAGCAATTCAAGTGTTTGAATAATGAGAGTGACAAACAGATATTTTCTTAGTGACTTACTGAGAAAAAGAAAATCTCCTTGGAAGAAGAGACTTTAGTGAGACTTCTATTCCTACAGACAAATGCTGAGCACCAACTTTATGCTACAGCATTGTAAAGGGTAGAACTTAATATAGAACCAGAAATATGGCAAGTTATCTAGTGACTAACATTGTAAAACAGCCAAAAGCTTTAAAGCCACAAGGAGAAAGAACAACGTTAAGAGTGTGAAATGGAATAGTTTTCTTATAATTCTAAAACTTTACTTTTGTCTTTAAATCAATATATTATGGATTTCATGCTTCAAGAAATTATCATCTTTAGTTAGAAATAGGAAGTAAATCCCTACCCTCCACCCAACAAAGCAAACTGGAAATTTTGGAGAAATTAAGAGGGTTTTTTTGGCGAGTAAGAGAATATCATTTTTTAAGAAATTCTTGGAAAAAATCTAAAAGTCCTTTGGGTGGAGATAATGAATCCTTCTTACTCCCATCGCAGATGCATTATTCTTCCAAGGGCCCCTTACATTTCAATCAATGGTGAAATTTTGGGTTTATTATGGATCTCATGGCAGCCAACCAACTGACACTGAAGTTCACTTAGGCTGTACTCTGGTCAGATCCTCCGTGAATCAAAGACGACCCAAAGAACTTTGGAAATCCATTCCTGCTGAGCAAGGCTAAGGCAGGCAGGTCTGAAGCACTGTCAGGCTACCCTTAAATACAGGAGGAACTTGACTTTCGGTAGTGGTACTTTCCGGGTATCTTAAGCAGCAATCTTTCACCAGGTGGAAGAGAATTAAGGGGGTGTGTGTTGGGGGGGGGGGGGAGATCTGCAATCTAATATTATCAAAAAAAAAAAAAAAACAGTTAACCCTAAGCTTGTACCTTCCAAAGACCACTGAATGTAATTTAATGCAGGGCTATATGGGAGAGCCTTATTTGATGTCAACGAATTCCAGTTACGATTCTTAATTGTCAAGTTGCCTAAAAGCGGCATACTAACCAAACCACCAGTTAGGACTCTGGCAGAATAAAAAAATTACTCTGATGGTCTGCCCATCAAAGGAAAATGTCTGCAAGCAAATTAAGAACTTTTTTACTGACATGTGAGATCTAAACAGAATCATTCAACGTTGTTAAAATGTATGCAGATGAATGACTCCCTACTGTTAAGGTTCTTCTGAGTGTATTATGTGTATATATATAAATCCATACACACAAATTATAAATTTATTTCCTACTAAAAAGATTTAAGGCAGTTATGCTATATATAAAGTTAGCTGTAATACCCAAGATGAAACAGTTCCTACTCAAGAAATTATGTGAACATGTTAGATAAGTTCTTATCATAAAGGCTGTCATGAGGCTATCTATATCTAGTACAGTTCACATTTCCTGATTGAGGCTCAAAACACAGGAATTTTACCCCAAGAGATAATTTGTCCCTCAATCCCCACATATAAAAGGCAGTATGAACAGACAAAACATTTATGAAAACTTGAAAAGGAAGATACAAAAGGAACTCAACAGTAAGATTCTGACTACCTCTAGAGACCACATACTATCATTATTACTCTTGATTGTACTAAACACAACAATCCAATCAGCTCCAAGTTGAAAATAGGGTTGGAGGGAAATCATTGGCTGCAACTGCCAGAAAAGTTCATAATCCTAAACAGAATTTAAAATAGAATCTGATGATTTATGCTATTTTCTAGTCACAATGACATTTAACTGGAGAGAATTTCTGAGCCATTTCTAAGACTTAAGTGATTGACCAATTTGAACAACATACCTTGAATGGTGAAGCAATTAGGACTTTGGGAATGAAGAGCACCATCTTTTTTGGTCTTTAGTAATGTTAAAAGGAGAGAAACATTCTGATGTACACAGATAAAACATGGTTGGCAAGGAAAAGGGCAACCAGCAAAACCACCAGGGATACATGTTGTCAAGAGAAAGGGAGGAAGAATAAAATTCAGTTGATGAACATAAAAGAGTTAACAAACTAAAGCTCATGAAGGAAAGAAAATGAACAATAACCTGCCTGTTATGTCTGAACATCAATGCATTAGGTCAGAGCAAAAGAAAAGCTCGTGTGTTGCTTACGTCCACAGACTACTTAGTTATCTAGCGAGATACTAGAGGGACGGCATGGAGCTGGGGGAAGCCAACTATGAAACTGGGATGTTCCACTATGAAAGCAAAGACTGTACATAAAGACAAATTTTAAGTACAGTGAAGACTGTCTTGTGTTACTTTATATTCCACCATCAACCAGACCTGGAGGGTACCTATTACTGACTAAATGCTCAAAGTATTTAGTTATTTAAAAAAAATAAGATCTTAAAAGGTATATTTGGACAATTTTTGGAAGAGGTAGAGAAAGCAACTGGGTATATACTCTCTTATTTGATTTCAACGAGCAAGAGACTAGACTGACTGCTTTTCACCTTCAAAGTCTTAGTCTTGATGAAACTGACAATAAAGGCACAAATAAAGTAAAATTAAGTAATTTTAACAAGGAAGAAAATCTGACAACGTCTGAACCAAGCAAAACTAGATATGGTTTAAGGTAAAAAACAAACAAAAAACTAGATATTAAACAATCTGAAAACATATATTTGGAATACAGAAAAAGAGTACAGAATAAGAAAATTTAGCTTTCAAGAAAAATTAGGCAGATTTCCTTCTAGAAAAGTGATAGGTCCCAAGAGAGAAAGTAGCCCCCACAAGACTAAGCACAGCTTGATTGTCATCTTTTTTATTACTCAATATCTATCACAGTGGCTGGGTAAAGAACAGCCATCAAAGCTTACTGAACGAATGTCTATCATAATGTATAATCAGTACACTGGTGTAGTTCAAACCTAACCAGGAAAGTTTCTTAAAGCAGGATGAGAAAAGAACACAAGCAGGGCTATTCCAACATCAGTTATGTTCTCAAATCTTAACCAGTGGGTACCAAGACTTTTCAAACTTCTTTTTTTAAAGAAACGAAACTCTTTTTTAAAAAGAAATCTATGTAGAACTCCAATACAGAATAAAAATGAAGCTGCCACTGGTTAGATCAAAGTCAGAGGGAATGTCACCAGCCTCTAATGCCTTAAGCCAGCCTAAGGTGTCTCTATGCAATCTGTGAACACCACCACTCATCTTAGAAATGTGATGGAAAGCATGGTCATTCAGTTCTCATGTTGTTAAACTGAGGAAATTACCAGCACTATGAAGGAGAAATTCTAAATAATGTCGCTAATTTAAAGAAAGACAAAACTCAAGACCTCTTATCACTTAGAAGAATGAAAACAGCCGCTATAAAGTAAAAAAACAATGAACAAGAATTAGGCCACAGCAGACAAAACAGAATGCAAAAATTAACATCTCATTAAAAAGCAAATACGATTAAACATATTCACATAAATGTAATCACTACCATGAAGTCAACTGCTCGACAGATATAAACTGCTCAATACGATAGCTGCTTCCGAAGAGCTGAGTCCCAGTTTCACACTGTCAAGAAGAACCCACCATGATGGCAGAGCCGTGGTCCACTATGGAAATCTGTGGGCGGCACTGCTTCACTTCACATAGCAATACAGGAGTAACTGCCAGGACCTTCTACCGCTTTCAAAGTTGTTCTATGCCCCTAGGACTGTTCCCTAACATCACTACAGGTTTTAAGTGAACACCTCCAAAAGGCAGAGGTTCCACGGGTTATCTCCAGTAGGTCTGGCAGTGGGACACATACTTGAATCACAAGATGGGCTGTAGAAGCAGTAATTAGCGGGCAGCAGGACGTCTGGAAGCAAGCAGCCAGGACAATGGCAAAAATCTGCCCAAGGCAGATCTAAAGAAGGGGTTGTTAAATTAAATGGTATTGATGTGGTGCAAATGACAAACTGTACAGCAAGGGCTCAAGGAGGAAGAAATATTAGTGAGAATGACAGACAACGCAGTCTATCACAGAATAAGGCCACCTTCCACTGTTAGAATCTGCAGAACCATGCCGACCCTCCAGCGTGGATCTGTGGAGAGGTGTTTATATAAAGCATTCATACCGAACGAGTTTCCTTTAAAATGTCTTCGCATTTGATGTCATTTTTGACAGGAATGCCTCTCTTTCCTGGCTTTCCACAAAGCTTGCTCCTTCCTCCCATCAAGCGTTAGCTCAAGCATCACTTCCTTAGAGAAGCCGTCCCTCTGTTATGTTCTATCACAGTACACTGTTTATCTCCTTCACAGAAAAATAAGTTGATTACGGGATAGAGTAACTGCTGTCTCAGCAAAGGCAGGGACCATATCTGCCTTGTTCACCTTTACCCAAAGGCTAAGAAAGTTCCTGGCACACGTAACAGGTGAACAATAAATATTTGTTGGATGAATAAAAACTACTATACCAAGTTACATGAACACATACATGTACACGTAAATATTGAAAACTGGGGAACAGCTAATAGCAAACAACCAAATGCTAAAAGTACTAAAAATGACATTTGTAGAGACAGGTGAATATGGTTTCAAAGAACAAGTACTAAAGATATCGATCTTCAAAAATATGAAAATTTTTACTAGAAGGGGACCAGGAGTGGTTATTTTCAACTTCTACTGAGATGCAAATAAGAAATGTTTAAACTGCAATGAGTCAACATTAGACATAAGGATTATTTGCTGCAGAATGGACTATCAACAGAGCTTCTGGAATCCGTTTTCACTGCAGAGCATAAAATACGGCTGGTTATAATGGTCAATTGCATATTCAGGATTAGTTAAGAAGAGCTCAGAATGTAGGTAACTATAAGCTAAAAAACTTGCAACTGCTTCTCCCCCAATTTTTAAAATTCTGAATTTGTAATCATGTAAAATCACAGATTTTATAAATTGAATACAACATACTTTAAAAACAGATGGTCGTTATTTGCTGATCATACCTCAGCATCACTTTTCTAGGTATTTTGCAGAAGCAATTACATTTATAAAAGGTCCATTTCATAATACAATCTGGTAACTAAATCAAATGAAACTACTCAAATCAAAGAGCACAAGGTCTGCCACTGCAATATCTTAAAATACCTTTTAAAAAAGAGTGTTTATATCTATAGACTGGGGTTTAAAAAAGGATAAATACACTGCAACAATTGTAGCATATCCCTGAAAATAATTATAGTGCCACCTGTGGATTTTTTTTTATGAGGTGTAAGGATAAATCAATAGACTGCTACGTCACACAAGTCAATTATTATCCGTTGAAAGTTGGTGTAAGACAAAGGGGCATACTCCCTATGAATTCTTACTGTACCCAGAATTAACTGGTGCTGGCAGTATCAGTGCAACCACTGCGGTGATGGCTGCCATGCTATGCTGTTGTGGTATCAGGACAAAAGTGGGAATGAAGTTGTTTGGAAAGATTTTCTTTTGGCAAGGTTTCCTTATAATGAGATTTAGCAGTAAATAAACAAACACAAAAAGAATGAATGTTTAAGACCCACTGAACACATTAAGGTCAAGGATTTCAAAAGTTAATCCACTTTTCTTCCCCCAAGAGTTTATTTTTGGTAAAAGGCAGAAAAATTAGTTTTTCTACAAGGGAAATCTGCTTCTAAATGATAATTTGAAAATCTTGATATATATTATATATTAAAAAAGACACACAAAAATAACGGAGAAGTGGGAATAACAGATTAGGTACTGTAACTTTATAAAGGCTTGCCTAAATCAAGAAGCAGCACACACACACCTAATTGATGCAAACTAAAAGTGTATATAAACAGCACAATACTGTGATACTGGATCATGATACATTACCTGTACACGTAACTACTACTGTTATTAATAAACCTTTGGGACACTCAGTTTTATGCCCAACAAGACATCAGTAAGTCTTTAAAATCTTCTCTTCCTCCTTTATGGGAGGGTATTTCTAGACACTAATTTTCCCATCTAATATTCGAATATAGGAAACCGACTCCACAAGGTGCTTTAATTGATGAGACCTCAAGTGCTGTTTTCTCTCTTGAATTTTCCGATAGTCAAAAGTCCATGGGGACCACACACAAATACTATGACAGAAGAGTTGTTACATTAAGTCTTTTGATGGGACTTCATTGGTGACGAAGCTTTATGACATGCTTGAGCAACGCACTGATGGGGATCCCATCTGAGTTAATACTTTGTCCAACCACTGTAGGGGTCCATTCAGATGCAGTTCAATCCAGCAAGGAGTGCTTGTTACCGTCTGCCTTCTGTTTAAAAGAATACGAGAAAATAATTATGAAAGTAAAAGAACAATATCTACGTTTAGCTACATAAAATAAGAATTTAGATAAATTAAAAGGTTGTATGTACTAAAACCTAAATTGTTCTAAACAAGTATTAAGTTTGGATATTTATTATTCTGAAAACTGTTTAATCCTCAAAAGTCTAACAAAGTACTTCTGATAACTTTTTTTTCTTTTAAAGAGATTTATAAAAACATTCTTTCCCCCTCAAAATCAGTAGGGTGACTTTATTATTTACCATCCAAAATGGGACACCTTTAAGAGAAGGTATTATTAATCATTCCAGGGCAAGAGAGATAAATCAGGACTAGCCCAAGTAAACCGGAATATACAGTCACCCTAATTACTAAAAAACCACAGAAGATACTCAAATACTAAATGAAGCCCAAATGGAATAGGGTTCAAATTTAAAGTATACCAAAACAAAACAGAATTCTGACCCAAGCTTAACACAGACGTTTAGAGCTGGAGTTCAACTGTTCCCTGACAAAGCCAATGAATGACTTTTAATAAGAAACAGCATCATGCAGGCTTTTAATAGGAAACACCTCCAGTACTTCAACAAAATGGGCTACCGTCTGGGCATTACAAATTCTTCAGTGACATCCTGTCACTTCCACGTACTGATTTTTAGCTCTGTCTTATTTACTATATAAGTCAGTAAGCTGGCTTGCTTCTTTAATGTGACAGCCCTTCAAAGAGGAGAAAAGGCCATTATCAACTCTTCACCTCCAAAAGACACAAGCTCGATACAATTTACAACCGTATTTCAAAGGTTGTGGTTTTCTGGAGCAGACGGTGTCTGTGCCCTTCAGATTTTTCAGTGTTCTCTAGCAAATTTCCAATGGCATGTATCCACATTCCTGTGCCTGAGATCCTCTCTCCTCTGTCCACATGTAGAGTAGATTAGCAGTGCCAGGAAATTAACATCCCTAGGAGCAGCCCTCAACCAATGACACAGCAATTGGCATTTAAATGCCCAGTTTCCTTTCCCTCTGGGTGGGCTAATTCTGTATGTTCTTTACTATTTCCCAAAGTTTTCCTAAGGGAATAAGGTCTGGTGACCCACCCACTATAGTAGATGGCTGAATAATGGCATTGGCTGCCTTCCCTCCCCTACCTCACTTTCCTACTTCCTCCTTCCTTAGCAGTGTTTCCTCCATTTCCTGAATAAATTCCTTACTCTTGAATCCTTGTCTTAGGGTCAGGGACACACAAGAAGACATTTTGCTATGTGATCATTCCAACAACATGACACATGGAACAGAACACATCAGTCCCCAATCTGATCTGTACAGACTCACTGCCTTATGTTGATTTAGATACTATATTTTGGTTTATGCAGCTTAAAATTGCACCAGCACTCTTCACAACTGACTCACACTATCCGTGAGGGATAGGCAAGACTGACCCCTTCTCATCTTTCCCTGTCCTTTTTGTTGTTCTGTTCTTCACATAAAGTTTCGCCCACCTTCTCTCTCCCCTTGAGATCAAGCCTTCTGCAGTAATTTTGCCAAGACCTCTTTTAATTTTGATCTTCCCGTGTGCTGAATTCTGGTTATTTCCCAGTTTGTTTTCCATCAGATCATTTATTACTAGATTAGTTTAACCTTCAGGAATCATTCCTACTCCAGGTCACTGAAGAGATATGGGTTTAAGAAGGCTGTTACTACACTTATTTGGGCACCGAAACATACGTGAGGCCACCTCCCTACCTTTTTCGTCACTCTAGTACTGATTCACTTAACTCAGACATTTCTCAATTAAATATGAATTCTTTATAACTTATATTTCCTGCTTACATTCCCTGATTTTTATTCTGGTAATCAAGCTGGCATTACAGAAACTGGAAAACAGTTTTAGAAATCCAACCATTAGCTCTACCTCCTCAGCTCCAGTGTCATTAGAATAAAAGGTTCTTGGTAACTACCCACAGTTCCCAAGTATATGGGTATCTGACGCTATTCTGATCTGTCAATATTAAAGGAAACTATTTTGTTACCCAAAGTAATGTACATGACTCCATACCTATAAAAACACACTGTATATTACTGCGTCTCACAATTATAGATTTTAAATTATGTCTGGGTTAAAGAACGGCAGAGGCCACAATGAACGAAGGGCAGCATCTCTCTGCCAATTAAAACTGTTCTTAGCAGGAGACCTACACTGGAATTCTCCCTGTCCCGTGCAGTTCATATTTAATTCCACTGAATTTCTAACATGTTCTGCAACATTCTAATCTTTTGAAGAAAAAAAAAAAAAATGTCTGACCTAAAAACTCGGTATCAGATAGTACCACTGGAATCTAACTTTAGTATCAACTCAGGTCAGTTCAAGTTCAAAGGAAAAAAAGGAACCCAGCATTCTTTAAAGATATCACATCTCAAAAGGGAAAAGATTAAAACAAAAGAACTACAGCAAAGTCAGAAAATAAATTATTCTACTATTAAAACTTAGACAAAATAGTGACAAATCTTCATTCTAGGATATAAATACATCACACATTTTATATACATACATATATATATATATATATACACATTTTTTTTTTAAGATTTTATAAAATTTTTCCTTTTTCTCCCAAAGCCCCCCAGTACATAGTTGTGTATTTTTAGTTGTGGGTCTTTCTAGTTGTGGCATGTGGGACGCCGCCTCAGCACGGCTTGATGAGCGGTGCCATGTCTGCGCCCAGGATCTGAACTGGTGAAACCATGGGCCGCCAAAGCAGAGCACACAAACTTAACCACTCGGCCATGGGGCTGGCCCCTCACACACAATATAGTTTTACAAAAGTATTCAACCAGTACACCTCAAATCTCACCATCTCAAAAGTCATATACCTCACAAAACTTGTTTAAGATAAGGAATCAAGTCCAAATGAAATGAAATAAATTCTGAAGAAGGGCCAAATTGCTAGATAAAACAGAAGTGCTATTACTATACTATATGAGTATCTCCTTAAGGAAGCATTCAGAGAGTAAGCAATAAGAGTAAGAAAGAGAAAGACTAAGTATTTTACTTACAGCTCTATCCTTTAATATGCTGAAGAAGTCTTCCCTTTCTTTGATGTGGAATCCAATCTACTGTTTAATTTAGCAATAGCCTAATCTGTCTTATCCCCTGACAACAAATTAGCTTTTGCAAAACTCAATTACGTAATGATTACACTATTCTTAGAGAAGAGGTTAACAGTCAAGGAGAGCTTTCTCAAGTCCTGTCTCCACCACTCAAAGCGTGTCCTTGGGCAAATTATCAAATCTTTTCTAAGCTTATTTCCAAATAAGTATTAGTTTGAACCATTTTTTTTTTCTTTTTACCTACAGAGATTGCAACCTTATAAAGGAAGGATAATAACAGAAACAGTAATTCTTAGCCATGTTGAAAGGCATGAGATACTGCATTTAAGACACAGCACAGTGCCTGGCACCTCCCTTCCCCTTTTAATATTGAATAAAGTTCCACCTCTTAATCCTATCCTCAAGTGGTCTCAACTTATTTGTCCAGCCTTACTCTTCTTTACTTTCTCTACTCCAGTTAAACTGAACTATATTCTATTGCCAGGATCATAATTTTCCAACTCCTTGTACCTATGACTACCAAAATCCTATGCATCTTTTAGAACATAGATCACATGCCACCTCGACCAGAAACCTTCTCCAAGCCTCAGTGGAAATGTCTCTCTTTCCATGAACTGACAGAGCTCTTTAAATATACCCTTTTTATAGTATTTAACGCTCTGTACATGTTTTAATTCTATCTTCTATAACACCAGCACAGGAATTTGCAAGCTTTGAATCTAGAGGCCTCCAACTTTCTTTTGTTATTTTACATAAAGATCTGCTGACTCCATAACCTCAATGAAAACAGACACGTGAACTCCAGAAGATGCAAAGAATGGAAGAGAAAAGAATTACAGTGTGGAAATTGAAGAACTGAATGTGTATTTCATACCGGTATTCTGCTCCCCACCCTTTCACAAAACTCATTCTTATGGTGCACATTCTAGTTAGCTGGTACACGGCTTCAAAACCCTGATTAACAGACTGAGCCAGAAGAGCAGCAAATTCCTGGTTGTTGAAGATCTTCAGATTACAGCCTAAGATTGAAAAAGTAAAAAAAAAAAAATTGTGTAAAAAGAGTAACATTAAAAGAAAATAATTCCAAAAGGGTTACAGATATTAGAATATGAGCACGTAAATCATCTCTTAATTCCTAAAATTAACAGCAACTAGAAGGACTCAGCAAGCTGATAGGTTTACTTACATACCTGGTGGGATTTTACACACGGTTGCCGGGTGCCAACCATATCTCTGATTACAGTTGGGGCTCTGCACAAAGATTGCACTATCACTTAGGCACTCAGCAAACACTTCCCCACCGATGTAATATAAGCGCACTCCTCTCCCTAAAACAAAACACATACGGGATTAGTTTTATAACATTTACTATTTCAGTATGACTTTGGAAGAGTCTTCTTAGAGGAATACTAAAATGACATAAGGTATTTTGATGACCTTTTTCATAGCTATTCTTTTCTCAAGTATAATTCTGAGACAGACTACTATAGATTTTTCCAAGTATTTTTTTTAACAATGATTTTATTGATTTGTAAAAATAATACATGTTTATCAAAAGTATTCAATGTAGAAAAGGATGTGCATAGTAAAGAATTTCATACAAATTATATCCTATTTTAAAGTAAGAAATTGAATTATTTTGAAGAAATTAACTAATGTTTGGATAAATACGCCTTCATTATAATAAACAGTATTTCCTTAAAGATCCCACTAAGGTTAAGAAAAAAGGTAATAAAAATTATCAACATGTTAGAGTCATTTTTCCCCTTTTAAACTATATGTTATGGTGGCAACCAAATTCCTAGATATATAAACAGAATTAAGTAAGAAATAACTATTTTGGGAGATTTTAATAAACTGCTTCCAGAATTTGACAGATCAAATACCCACAAAATATTAGATAGAAGCATTTAAAAAATAAAAAACTGTGAAAGGTAGAGTTCTGAGATAGCACCTAAGATTCTCACCTGTGGTATACACACATTTTCTCTATTATTCAAACACTAATCTAGGTGCTGCTAAAGGATTTTTCAGGTGTAGTTAAGGTCTCAAATCAGCTGACCTCAAGAAAGGAGATTATCTTTGGTGTGCCTGACTTAATCAGGTGATATCCCTTAACAGGGATGGGCTGTCCCTGGTGTCAAAGTGTGAGTGTGAGGGATTCAACACAAGAGATTCTCCACTGCTGACTGTGAAGATGGAGGGGGCCAGGTGGCAAGAAATGCAGGAGGCCTCCAGGTGCTGTAAAAAAAAAAAAAAAAAATCTCTTTGGGGCAGGCCCAGTGGCACAGCAGTTAAGTTCACACATTCCACTTCGGTGGCCCAGGGTTCGCCAGTTCGGATCCCAGGTGTGGACCTACACATGGCTTGTTAACCCATGCTGTGGTAGGCATCCTACATTTAAAGTAGAGGAAGATGGGGGCTGGCCCCATGGCTCAGTGGTTAAGTTCGAGCGCTCCACTGCAGGCGGCCCAGTGTTTCGTTGGTTCAAATCCTGGGCGCGGACATGACACTGCTCATCAAACCAGGCTGAGGCAGGTCCCACATGCCACAACTAGAAGGACCCACAACTAAGAATATACAACTATGTACCAGGGTGCTTTGGGGAGAAAAAGGAAAAAATAAGAAAAATCTAAAAAAAAAAAGTAGAGGAAGATGGGCACGGATGTTAGCTCAGGGCCAGTCTCCCTCAGCAAAAAGAGGAGGATTGACGCCAAATGTTAGCTCAGGGCTAATCTCCCTCAAAAAAATAATAATAATAATAATAATAATAAAAAAATAAAAAATAAATAAAATAAAAACCTGTCTCTTTTAAAAAAATCTCTTTAACATCTGGCTTAACAAAAGAGAGCTGGATTCTCATCAGATTCTACATTTAATCTCTTGCAAAATCATATGCCACGTAGCCTGGGGAATACTTCACAGTATACTCACGACAGAACAAGAGTGAAAAAGGCAAACAGCCTCTTAGTACCACTATTAAAATGGTTTTGACCTCACAAATTTGCCAAAAGGGTGTCTGGGACCACTAAATTTTCAGATCCCCTGAATTATTTTTTGAACTATATTAAATGTTAGTTCTTGTTTTAGATATCTTGCTTCCGATTAATAGTGAGTAGATTTGACTTAATATATGAACTCACTGAAGGTGGGGGGACTAGGAGATATAAACAAACTGAAAAAAATTCATGACTTGTTAAAATTATAATCTTACAATCTGAACACGACAATTTTATGACTGGTAGAGACCCAGCAAAGTAAAGTAACTTTAACATATATCTACTGAAGGACTTGCCAGTACCAAGGGTGCCAACTAAAGAGAAGCTGAAGATAAGAATTTGCAGATGAAGGATGACCAGGATCTAGCAAAAGGAGTGAAGTTGTGCACTTAAACTGACGGAGAGAAGACAGGCGTTTTGCACACCGTCTCTTGATGTGGTAAACCACACAGTGCTCACATTATGAGTATGTGGCACGGGTTTTTCACACAAGGAAAAACAACATACCTATATGTCTTCTTGTCATTTCTACCGTAGCATTTCGGTTGACGTTGGAGAGTAAACCTAAGCAGAACCTCTCTGAATTTGATGGATCTGTGAAGCCGTCTACAGTGAGTGAGGGCTGTGATGCATGGAAGGTCTCTCCGACCCTCTGGTTTAATTCATAATATGCTATTGAACACCAAAATGCAGGTTCTGAGTAAGTAACTGGCTGCAAATCTGGGGGAAAAAACCAAACCCATAAAAGCAAGAAATGTTATGTGAACAATTCAAGCCAAGAATAGACTGAATATCATCTTCACATGCTCTATGCCAGCCTACACTGGCAACAGCTCAGGAAGTAGACTTAACATCTACATCACGAGCTCCAGCTTCCAGAGATCACACCAGATCTTCAATGCTTCAGATCTCCCCTATCTCGTTAAGTCATCCAGTCTTCAAACATCCTTTTCAGACTTTATGGTGGATCATTTGTTCTACTAATTTTATCTTAATTCCTGTTCAGATATAAAACCACCACAAGCAAAGTAAATCAACTTGCATAATAAAGCTAGTTTTTGGTAGGAAGAAGTGGAGGAAAGCTGGAGCAAAGATTAATCAGTCAAAAGCCACAAGAAGAAAAACTGTCATAACAGAATACAAAATATGACATATCTCTGACATTTGTCTACTTTAACATGAGATTCTCAGTGAGTTACCCTAGTTACAAAAATAGAAAACCCACACATACACAAGAAACAAAGTAATAAAACACAAAGAATATGCAAGTGGAAACAGAATGTGGAATCAAAAGAATCTATGTATTTCATGGGAAAACCAGCATCACATGTATTTGACTTGTACGATTTTGATTAAAATTCATCAGAAGAAATATCATTTAAAAAATTGACAATTTTATAGAATAAAGTTTGAATGTGTAGAAACTGAAGAGAAATTATGAAATATCGAGGTAAAATGAAGGCCAAGAATAAATGTATAGATACACAACATATGTATACGTACACATACACACATTAGCTCTCACACACACATATATATTCCCTATACCACGTGCACATGTTTGTGATATATGTGTGTATATATACTTTTATATACACACTTCTTATATTAATAATTGCTACTACAAAATATAAAATAGATATACCCATAAAAATCTAGCCATAATAGGTCATAAAAATTTCCATGAGTAAAGACTATGGTTTCCACAAATGGGAAGATTAGTTTTGTACACTCATGGGCCAGTGGAAAAGTGTGTTAGTAATACTGAGGCACGTAATCAATATCATTTTTAAAAAGCACTAATTCGAACTATCATTCAATTACGCATTGGGATCCCTTCCTCATCTCTATGAAAAATAATGACCAGAGAGGACATTTAATTAAGTTATACAGTATAAAAACGGTGGGGTAAAAGTATTCGTAACTTACCCAAACTATGATTAACAGGGGAAAGAGTAGTAGGAGATAGTTCTGCTGGAGATCCTGAAACAAAAGGATTCAATTTTAAAATAGATGTAGAAGTATTTCCAGAACTTCTAAACAAATAATAATAAAATTGGTTCTATCTGGTTGTAATCATCACAAACAATACACAGATAATTTACATCCCAAGAATTCAAAATATACAACTGCCTTAATGTAGGTTTAATTTTGGAGGCTTCAGTATATAAAAGGTACAAAGAGTATAAGCAGTCCTGGCTTCCAGCCACCCGGTTCCCCTTTCCAAAGTCACTCAATGTTGCTAGTTCTTTCTGTACCTTTCTGGAAATATCCTACAAACCATACAAGCAAATATATTCTCTTCTGTGCCCCCTGCTTTTTATAAACGGTAACATAATTCTGAACTTTGCTTTTCTATTTCTTATCCTATCAGAGATGCTGTTTCCTTATTATTTACTAGTAGCTGTGTATCGTTACATTATGGTATATATCCTATGGAGGGCTGACTGTATTCATCACATAATGCCTCTTTATATAAGGGACTTGAGCATCTGCAGGGGGTCCTGGAACCAATCCCTACCCGGATACTGAGTGATGACTCTATTATGAGCCAATATTGATGGATACTCAGACTATTTTCAATCTTTTGCTTTAAGAACCAAGATTGCAATGACTAATCTTGCAAATTTTGCATACTTTCAATCATATCTGAAAGGATAGACTCTGAAAAGAGAAACTGCCAGGCCAAAGGGCTGTGCATCTGTAATTTTGATAGATTTTGCCACAACTGTCATCTATAGAGGTTGTACCAGTTTACATTCCCAGTAAAAACATAATGGTGAGGGGATGTTCACATTTTTGTTCATAGGTGAGAATATGGTCTTAACAAAGTTTTGTTTTAACTTGTATTTCTCTTATAAATGACATTGAGCAGTATTATACTTGTCTATATTTCCTTTCCGTAAATAGTTTGTCCTTTTGCTCATTTTTCTACTGTGGTGTTGATCATTTTTCTCACTGGTGTACAGAAGGCTCTTTAAGTATTAGGGATATCAGTCCTTTCATGGCATGGGTTACAAATATTTGATCATCTGTCTTATGATTCTTCATCCTAATTTTATTAAGCAATATTAAAAAAACTTTGTTTTTTTAAAGAAAAACTTTGATTTAATTTATCAATCATTCTGGTGTGTCACACTTTGATAAAACAGTGGTGACAGTGGATATTCTTGTCTTACTCTTAACTTTAAGGGAATACTTCTAGTGTTTTCCCATTGAGTATGAGGCTTGGCTTTGAGGATAAGCGATAAAATTCCTTATTTAGCATTTTTGCATCAATAATCTAGGTAATACTGGTCTGTAGATTTGTGTCGTGAGTGCAATGTTATGCTGCCTCATAAAGACAATCTAGAAGCTTTATGTCTTTTCTATGCTTTGTAACAGTTTAGTAGCCCTATAACACATTCTTTAAAACTTTGTTAGAATTCCTGTGTGAAATTGTTTGCAGTTAATTATGTTACAGGGTTTACTCTAAGACATTTCTCTATTTCTTCTATGAAAGTTGACTGTTAAGATAGCTCTATTTTCTGAAGTCAGTTTCAGTAAATCATATTTTCTTAGAAAATTATTCATTTCTTCCAGTTTTAGGTAAGGAGGCTAAATCTAATTGAGAAGATAAGTGGTAGGGCGCCTCTTTCCTCCCCACACCGTTATAACCAAGACATAAAATACCAGGCAACACAGGTGAAATGGCAACCCTCAGATAAAAAGATGAATCAAAAATAGAGAGCAGGTGATAATTATATTTTACAAGATGGAACAGTCTTCCATAACTAAATTAAGTTCTTATGTTCTTTTTTTGGTTCTCAGTTTGAAAAAATCTGTTGGAAAGTCACAACAGGTACAACTAAGAAAGGTCAAAATATATTTAGAACAATGAACTAAAACTCACTGCTGTTTCCTGAAGCTGATATAAAATAAACAAAGCCACCATTAGAAATGGAGGAAACTGCCCAATTTTTCAGCTCTCTCAACTGTTTATTCCTCCATTAATACTTATCAGAAGTGACCAATAGAGTCACAGTTCATTGATTTAGACTATCAGGAGTTCAGTCAGATGTGATAAAAGTTAGAATTATAGATTACAAAAACAAAGGTTCATTATAATCATATATTATTTATTTTTTTATTTTTTGAGGAAGCTTAGCCCTGAATTAACATCTGCTGCCAATCCTCCTCTTTTTGCTGAGGAAGACTGGCCCTGCGCTAACATCCATGCCCATCTTCCTCTACTTTATATGTGGGACGCCTACCACAGCATGGCTTGCCAAGCAGTGCCATGTCTGCACCCGGGATCTGAACTGGCGAACCCCAGGATGCCAAAGCTGAACATGTGAACTTAAGTGCTGTGCCACCGGGCCGGCCCCTATAATCATATATAATTTTAAAAGTTAAATTAAGCTAACAATTTATTAGCTAAGAGAAGTTTTAGAAACATTTTTTAAAACAGAGGCAGATTAACTGATAACTAACCAATTAGTTACTCATATATACACCCTGTTACTAAAGTCTGGGACTTTCAGTTATGAGAATAAACATCTTCACTATTTAAACTGGTTCGAATCCCGTGGTTTCTATTACTTGCAGCTAAAACGTCTAGAGAAATCCCTGTGCATGTATCTTCGCATACAAGCTCACATATATCTGTAGGATACAGTTTTCACCAAGGAAATGTTAGATCAAAGGGAATGAGTGTTAAGTTTTTCTAAGTGCCAAAGTAACTTCCCAAAATGTTTAGTACTACCAACAATTTATGAGTAAGTGTTTCTTCAGACGGTGGCACTACCTTTTGACACTCGCCAATCTGATAGGTTTAAAGGGGCAATTCTTCTTTAAAAATTTTTGTTTTTATTGTAAATAGCGTTTTCATGTTCTTTGTATCCATTTTCCTATTAACTACTGTCTTTTTCTTCTTGATTTGTAGTAAGTTGTTTTAAATTTACAAATCACTTCTCAAACTTGTCATACACTTGCAAATATTTCCCCAAGTTTTTTGGTTTCTTTTGGTGTATCTTTCAAGGTGACCTTAAAAAATCTTTTCAAGGGCCAGCCCAGTGGCGCAGCAGTTAAGTTTATACACTCCACTTCAGTGACCTGAGGTTCACTGGTTCGGATCCCAGGTGCAGATCTATGGACCGCTTATCAAGCCATGCTGGGGCAGGCGTCCCACATATAAAATGGAGGAAGATGGGCATGGATGTTAGCTCAGGACCAGCCTTCCTCAGCAAAAAGAGGATGATTGGCAGTGGACGTTAGCTGAGGGCTAATCTTCCTCAAAAAAAAAAAAAAAAAAACTTTTAAAATAGACATACTTTTTAAGAGCATTTTTAGGTTCACAGCAAAATTGAACAGCAAGTACAAAGAGTTCCCACATACCCAAGTACACTACCCATGCACATGTGCAAGCTCCCCTGCCATCAGCATCCTGTGCCACAGTGGTACATTCCCTGCAGTCGAGGAACCTACACTGATACATCATCATCACCCAAAGCTCAGAGTTTACACAAGGGATCACTCGGTGTTATACATTCTATGGGTTTCAACAAATGTACAATGACGTTTCCACGGTTGTAGTATCATACAGAATAGTTCCACCACCCTAAAAATCCCCTATGCTCTGCCTATTTCATCCCTCCCTCCCTTCTAACCCCCAGCAACCACTAGGCTCTTTAGTGTCTCCAGTTCCAGCACGTCACATAGTTGGAATCATAAAGTATACAGCCTTTTCAGAATGGCTTCTTTCACTTGCAATATGCATTGAAGGTTCCTCCATGTATTGTCATGACTTGGGGGCTCATTTCTTTATAGCACTGAATAACATTCTATTGTCTGGATGTACCACAGTTTGTTTGCTCATTCATGTACTGAAGGACTTCTTAGTTGCTTCCAAGTTTTGGCAACTGAATAAAGTGCAGGTTTCTGTGTGGACAAAAGTTTTCAACTCTTCTGGGCAAACACCAAGGAGTGTGACTGCTGGATCATATGGTAAGAGTACGAATAGTTTTGTAAGCAGCTGTCAGTTTGCCTTCCAAAGCGGCCACGGCATTTTGCGTTCCCTCCAGCAATGAATGAGAGAGGTCCTGTTGCTCCACACCCTCGCCAGCAACTGCTGTTGCCAGTGTTTAGATTTTGGCCGTTCTAACAGGTGTGTAGTGGTAACATTTTAAACTTTATTTATTCAAATTTATGAACCTTTTCTCCTAAGGTTTTATATCTTACATATTTCTTGCTGAGATTATTTTAAAAATTCTTCAATGTCACATACTAGAAATTGTAGGGTTTCATTTTTTACATTTAAATGTTTGCTCCAAATGGGATCCATTTTGGTATAAGATCAGTTACTTGTTTAGTATTTATAATTTTTTTGAGGGGTATTAAAATTAGTTTGAATTCCTTTTTTTATGAAATTATTTTTTTAAGATTTTTATTTTTTTAATTTTCCCTTTTTCTCCCCAAAGCCCCCCAGTACATAGTTGTATATTTTTAGTTGTGGGTTCTTCTAGTTGTGGCATATGGGATGCCGCCTCAGTCTGGCTCGATGAGTGGTGCCATGTCCATGCCCAGGATGCAAACACTAACGAAACACTGGGCCACCGAAGCAGAGCACGCAAACTTAACCACTCGGCCATGCGGTTGGCCCCAGTTTGAATTTCTTGAGCAAAATTAACAGAAAGGAATATATTACTTTATAAGTTTCAGTGTATTAACCAACCATAAATTAATATCATTCAAGTAAAAAAAAAAGACATTCTTTCAAAATGCATATACAAAAGGACAAGAAAGTTACAGGCTCTAAAATTCCTTCACTTTATTTTTTTTTGCTTTCATAATACAGAGAAAAATCCTGAAGAACTAATATTATCTACTATTTTGTTCTTATATCAAAAAAGGCCTGAAACATATCCTTTAAAAAATGTAATTTGGGGCAAGCCCTGTGGCAGCGCGGTTAAGTCTGCACGCTCTGCTTCAGCGGCCCGGGGTTT